TGACCAGCCTAGAGCAGACTTCCAAGCAGATGGCATCTGTCAAGTATCTGTTACAAACTGCTCTGGAAGATGTTTACAAACTGTGGGTGATACTAGGGCAGTAGCCACCATCTTTTTTCAGGTTCTCTGTTGGTTTTGGAAAGGTTATTACATCAAGCTTTCACCAAGATGAAGATCTACAGAACTGTGTTTTATGTCAGTTTTTACTGTGTGATAGTGAAATACAGAAGAGTCATGAAGAGCAAAAAGCTTGACTTATTTTGTTTTCTGTATGAGCTTTTCGAAACTGAAAGTAGTATAAGAGACTCTGACGTTGTGCACTGAGAGGCAACAGTGAGACTACGCAGTACTGAATCCAGCAATTACTGCCATAAGTACCATAAGCAAACCAGTGCTGTTCCTGTATGCAAAAATAACTGAGGTGGCAAGACAGCAGGAGTTTTTTCAGGGTGTATTGATTTTAATTTGGCAGAAGTTATCTAAAGCTACCAATAATTCACAAAGCAAATTTGTCCTCACTATTGTAATAGACTCAGTGCTGTTTAATTTGAAGACTATTTGTAGATTTTGCTATGGAAAGTACTTCTCTCAATACATTCTGGAGGCAGAGAAAAGAACAAAAAGATAACATGCAAGATGCTGAACACCATACTTTGGCCCTGTCTACACAGGGCTTCAAGGAAGGCAAAGGATAAAGCTGTTGTGTTTCTCTTCCCATGAGATTGCAGTCTTCTCAGCCTCCACTGAGCGAAGCTTTGTCCCTCCTTCTACCTCTCACTAATAGCCAAGGAAAGTCGATGAGGTAAACATCTGTGGGGTCCTTTTTCATAGTGTGCCCCCCATGAGACTCTGTATGCTTGCTTATTTGTTTAGATCTGCTTTTACTAATGGACGATGTGTAAAGTTGATTGAGGGATTGTTGACATTAGCTTTAGACTCTTCCTTACCTATTGAGCTTCACAGGAGTGAGACAGGTTATAGAAGCTTCTTCTGTTTTCCTTATTAATGATTCTATTGTCTTGCAGTTGTTATTTATGTGTTTATCCTGTGATAGTTCTTTTCTGTATGCAGTCAGAGCTTTATCAGTTGCTTTCCAGACAAGCTAAGACTTTGAGAAACCTTTTGGGGTTTGGAGGGGCGTTGTTTGGTTGCTCAACTGAAAAACAGTGAGCTGTTGGAATCTAGATTTTCATCAGAATGGCATCTGATAACATGTCACATAACACATAGTGGTTAGCTGGAAGTTAAGCAGCTGTTTGAAGATCTGTTCATTCCGTTCAAATCTACAGCTGCGGTCTGTCACCAGAATCCTTAATTGCACACATCTGCACAATGGTACTGTAGTTCACTCTCCATGTTTACAGGTGCTACTGCTTGGATTCAGCTTTTCAAAATATTCCTGTTGTATATGTCCGTGGTGCAGAGTTTGTATTTTAAAGTTACAGGAAAGCCAGACTGTTTCCCAATCTCTCGCCCCATCACCTTTCAAAAAAGCTTGCTTTATTTTGGGAAATCAATCAAAGTCTCTCTGACAGGTTTTTACCCTCTTTTCAGAAATTCAAATGCTGTTTTCTTGTGGCCTTGCAAGAGATTTTCTGACTCACTTTATATTAATATTAGCTTTGTGCTTTAGAGTAGGGGTATTGCATTTGTGATTCCTGTTTTGGAAAAAAGCCAAGTCGCGTATCGTATGGCTCTGTACCTCTAAAGGCAATACTGATTCTTGCTTACTTGATCCCTTTCTGTCAAAGCCTGAAGATTGCATCTCTTTTGATCAAGGCGATGTCTTCTTCATACCTCATACCTTTCTAGATAATTTAAAAAAAAAAAATAACAGTGCTAATTTCAATTGTGCATGCATGTCATGGGCAGCGGAGGTGATAATTAAATGGAGAGGTTTGAAATCAGGTTAGTAATCAGGCGGAGAAATTGGCATGAAAGGACAAAGGAAGTTAACAACGTTATTTGTGTGAGCATAGTACGCAGCGAACAGCTGAGGACCTGACCAGCATTCTCTGCTGGTGCTTCCAAGGTGTTTGGGGTTTTTTTCCTGGTTTTGAGCCACAGGCAAACAAGAATATACATTGGCTTTTACTGTAGTAGTAAACTAAACACTGCCAGGGAATATTTATTCCAAGGTACCCAAACATGATTATCTGTACTGGCAAATTATCTGAACGATCCTTGGCAAGGTTTTTGGCCCATGCCAGCTATCCTCTCCCAACAACTTCTTCCCCTGGTGAGGAGCTGCCATGGTCCAGGGACTATGCCTGATAGGCAGCGGGAGCGTTACCTGCTCTGATGCCTGAGGGTGTAGAGGCCGGCTGACCTCTGTGTCAGAGGACTCTTCTGGTCCTGTTTAAATGTTGGTTATAGACTGCAGCTGTTAAGAGCTAGAAGAGTTTCTGTCTTTGTGCTAAATCCCCTGGTCAGAAACATTCAAGGTGACACGACTTCCTGATGGAGGTTACACGTTGATCATTTGTACCCCATCAGCTTTAAAATGCTACTGCTTTGATGTCTGTGGGGGGGAGTAAACCATAAGATGACATGATAGCCCTTCAGCTTTTTGGAGAAGCTGTAGGTACCGCGTATTCGTAAGGTGTCCTTAGCTGCATAACCACAGCCGTTGTGAACATCCAGTATCTTAAAGTGAAGTTGGCACGATGCTTCTCTGAGGCAGTATTTGTTCTGCTTTCTTTATGAAGAATCAGAATCCATCAGTTATTTTACAGCATGTTTTTATAGCTGATTTTGCAATGTAATAGTCATTATCGCCATTTTAAATCTCTTGGCCCTTCATATGCCTTGGGTTGCTTCTTGATGTAAAGTTGCAAAGGAGTTATGTGAACGTAATGTTTGTAAAATGCTTTGAAGATGAAAAGCTTTACAGTAGGTTTTTATTATTACCAGAGGCAAAGTGAGCAGGAGTGGCTTAATGTTGGACCGTTCATTTCCCAAGAGATGGTTTTGTTTTGAAGAGTGCACATTATCAGTTGGGTTGGAGACAAAATTATCTTATTTCAATCCTGAATACAAATAAATTGGCAAGCTTTCTACCTTGAGATTATTTGCGTGAGACATTTGTAAAAGAGCAGAGCAGTTACGGTACTATCTATGGCTCTGTTCTTAGCTTAGGTTTAATGGAACATTAACGTGTTTGGCTTCTAGTATCCGAAGGAATTTTGAATTCAATCCATTCAAACATCCTTTTTTATACATATATATGTATGTATGTATATGTATTAGTATTCTTATATCTATATGATATACAGATATATACACTTATTTGAGATATATATTGCTCTCCTAGAGATAAAATCGGTTGCAGCACGTAAATAAAAAAGTGGTCTGCATTCAGAAATGGTGACGTTTTATTAGAGTTTTGTCCACAGGCTGTTTTTCACATGTTCAATCTGCCACATACAGAAGAACTGGCTTTTTTTTAATAGGGCTTTAAATATTTCTTGAATAATTTTTATTTCCAGCCTGTATCTACGTCATAAACTGATAGGTGGATGTACAGGCACAAAAAAAAAAAAACCCACAAAGCGAGCTGTTTGGCAGTTCTCAAGCTACTGCTGTCTCCTTGTGAGTGAGAGGAGAAGGGAGGGAGCCGCGTCGTTCAGGTGGAAATTCAACGTCAGCCTGCGAAGCGGGGGACTGCTTCAGGGACGCCGCTGTCCTCGCGCGGTCCCTCGTCTCCCTTGCCCTTGCAGCGGGTCATCGCTTCCACCCAGCAGCCTTGCTCCGACGGAGCCGTTCCGCGGAGTCAGCGCAGGGTGTCTTTGGGGAGCCGGCGCGGCCGCGGCTGGGGATTTCTGAAGCAGCCATTGTCGGCGCAGGGGCCGCTGCGTCCCTGCGGCCTGCAGCCGGCCGCCTCGCTCGGTGCAGCTGCAAGAGCTTCGGGCTCCTGCCTGGCACTTGCAGAAATCGTCGTGGAATTTGCTGATTCTGCCAGACGCGAGCTAAACACTTGTTCCCAAGTGGTGCGTCCCATCAGTACAGCTGTTGGTTATGAAAAACATGCAAGGGCTTTCATCTGTAATAATAGAGCTTTGTTGAAGTACTGCAAGCTCAAAATTTTCCGAGTAATTCTATCAAATAGTACCTCCTTGCTTAGCCTGTAGGGAGCTTTATTCCCCCGTGCTTCGGTTAAAACGTTCATTTATTGTTGTCACTTATGTCAGAGGTGGGGAGGGAGGGAGGCTCAATTTTCCCTCGGTACTGTCAGTAAGGATTAGCTGACATTGTTGGGCAGTGCTTTCAAAATATTCTGACCTATTTACACAACAAAACTGATCAGAACAAAATAAACAGTTCTGGTCAGCAGCTGAATGCTGTATTGTGGCAGCTATATTTGGCAGTGGATTTTCTCGTCATTTTCCAGTGTAGACAAAACCTGAACGCTACAGAAATCTTGAGCATTACAAGCAGATAATACCCTTACTGAATAGCTTGATTCTCCTGTTGCCCTTTGGGGAAAGGGGATGGTTTGGCCGTAATTCAGTTGGAACAAATGCTTATGAAGCAACTGACAAAAAAGCGTATGAGTAGATTTATCATTTTGCCATGCAGGGTAATAAATAATTGCATCGTTTCCAGCAAGCCACAGTATATACCTGCGAGATGGTGGATCTCTCTCCAAGGTGTAATCTCTGCAAAGAAGCATTAAATGGGGAATTGTGACAGACTGTAAGAATTGTTGGTTTCCTGCTTGAGTTTTATTTTGTAACAACCATAGTGGATACTTGCAATTACCTCCTCATTTTTATGTGGTATCCCCTAAGGAATGAATCAAGAGAAATGTTTCATTTTAGCTGTTCGGACAACCATTCCGTATTTCCTGGATCACAGATTTTTGGTAGTTTGGAGGATAAAATTGCCTGACGCTCAAGATAGGAAGTATCTCTTTCCATCTTGACTCTTCAGCTCAACTTTCTGAGAATAATAAAATGAAGTCTTTTTAAACTTGTCTTTTTTTTCCCAATTCCATTTAGTGATAGTCCCAATGCTGTCCATGAGGTGGAAAAGTGGTTACCACGACTGCACTCAGTTGTCATAGGACCTGGCTTAGGTAGAGATGAAGTTCTACTTGAGAACGCTAAGGTAATGTGTATACTGATATTTTATTCTGTGTCTTTATGTTGAAATTTATTAACCAATTTACTATCTCTTACATGATTACACAAATGTTTTTGATAGGTTTCCTAAATAACAAATTTATTAAAATGTTGTTGACTGAAAATTACAGCTGTTAGTCATGGTCTTCATTATTAAACTGTAAGCATCACTCTGAATTTTAGGCACCCGTTTGGTTGTTTTGATTTGCTTTTGTTCTGATTGTGAAAGCTGCTAATTAAGAAATAGATGTTGGCATCTCTAGATAAAGGGCTCTGTGTTTTCTTGGGTGCAAAGCACCTGTACTGTAAGAACATAAATATGAATTTGAGTTCCTAATTTTTGGAACCATATTTGACAACTTGTATCAGGAGAGGTACCAAAGAACAGGGACTGTGTCCCCTTGCAATAAGAAATAATATTCTTAATTGTAAAATGTTGCAGATTTCTACTCTGGATAAGGAGGTAGTCCTATTTTCTGTCAAGCCTTAGTGGAGAGCTGAAAACGGGAGCTTAGATAATTCTGTACTCTAAATAATATGTACTTACACCATCTTCCAGATGATGTCTTCTATTACTGTCAACACATCTTTGCACATTCAAAGTATATCTTTCAGTCTAATGTCAATCTAATTTTGTACAATTTAATATTTTTTTTCCTGAGAAGTATTACTGAATTAATCAGTGGTACTAACAAGTGGAATTAATATAATTTACAGAAATGTTGACAGTTACACAGTGAAATTGCAAAACAGGGGAGGCAAGAGACTGGAGACCACACTATCCAAGTAGTTTAGAATACCATGGGAGGTATGAAGGGTGGGTTTGCCAGGCTTTTGTTAGAGAAAGTTGCTATTGGAGCTCTTTGCTTCTTTAATTCTCCTTCTGCTTCCAAAAAAATGTTTGATTTGTGTTAAAGGGGTGCAAAACTAATAAAGAACATGGGTTCAGAAAGAAAGAAAGAAAGAGGAAATTTATCACAGCTGATCAAGAAATAAAATTCTATTCTGAATTAAAAATGTCAACAGATTTTATTCTTTTTTGAAAACTTTTTTCCAGAATTCTTAAAAATTTTGGGTAATATTTTTTCTTTTTTCCTGGTTTTTAAAAAATTCATAAGTGTTTTTTTCTAAAGGAAAACAACTTCAAACAAAAGAAAATGAGTGTTCATGCAGAATAACTAAGATACCTAGCATAAGCTTCTTTTATATCAGAATTCCATCTGGGTTTTATAAATATCTGTCAATGTGCTTATGTGTATTACAGAAGTATCTGGAAGATTCCTTGATTGTTTTTTTTTTTTTCATCATTGCTAAAAATAATTTTGCTTTCTTAGTGAATTACAAGCATACTTTTACTTCAGCCTGGCTGTCCTGTGTGGTGAGTTAGCTTAAAGTTAAAGAAACAAACCCAGCCAATGTAGACAAGGCATTTAGAAGTTACTTCATGCTGAAATCTCAGGCCACGTTCATATGAGCTGTGGATCTGACCTTATTAATTTCAAGTCACATTAAAGCTCAAGTTCTTTGTCTTCACTGTAATTATGTAAGTGTTCATTAGTTACCCAGTGTTGTTTTTTTAACATGTAATTGGGGACAAGCGAACCCTGGTTGCCTGTTGGAGGAAGACTGGTGCTTCTCTGTACTGAGGCAAGGCTGAGTCTCCCTTTTGCTTCAACAGCGAATTTTAAGCTTTGTATCACTCTTCACCTTCAAGAAAAAACACAAGTGATGGTAGCGTTGCTATTTTAAACTTTTATAGGAGGCTGGGTTGGTATATAATTTTCTGTTTTCCCTTTAAGCTAACCTCAGCATGCTGTCATATGAACACAGGGCTGAGATGTAGATTAGTGTCTGTTTTCTGGTCAGGTTTTTGTATCAGACTGGCAGTGACGATGGGAGAGAGCTCCCTCTCTTCCTCCTCCTGCTCCATTAAAGTGCTGAGGCGTAGTGGTCTGTCACCTCTCTGATGCTGTTCTTATGTCAGTTCTTGTCAGCATTGGGCCAGCACATTGCCAATCAATGTGCTTGTCCACACAGTCATGTGTTTTGGGCTGCTTCTCTCTTCTGAGTATTGAGAAATTAGGATACTAATGCAGTAACCTGCAATTTCTGGTAGACAGCCCATGGACAGTGTTTTACTGTGGAATAGCCCAAGTACTTCTTGACTAGACAGTGCATCTTCTCTCTCCAGACCAAAAAATGCTTTGCTTCTTCAGCATCTTTACTATGTCACCTACCTCCCTCATGCTTAGTGCCCGCACTGTGGCATCTCAGCTCCTTTCAACAGTCTGATGGACAAGAAGCACCTTGTGATCAGTTTCCTTTGAATTTTTTTTTTCTTTTTTTTTTTCTTTTTCTTTCTGGAGACCATAGTGATATTCTTTGAATACACACTTATTGGCTTCCTGTGATTGTCTGGTTTGGGCTGTAATTCCATTTACAAGTCCTGTTACACAAAGCCACTCTACAAGTTATATCCTGCTTTCATGCGCCACTTGTTATGGGTCTGTGCCAAAACCCTCCCATGCTATTCCTCAGTTGCCTGGGTGAGGGCTGGTGCTCTGTCAGAGCTTTCTAGCCATGGGTTTGCAGGACCAGGAGCTGCAGCTTCAGAAAAATCTCCTAAAGAAAGCATTTGTTGTGTTCTAATAGCGGTGCAGCTGGATCCCATGCAGATGTGGCAATCCTAGTCTTGGCCTGGTTAGACCCTCCAACTCTGGAGCAAATAAGCAGTCCAAGCTAGTTCCCTTCAAGAGAAAGGAACAAAACCACTTTTCTCCTTCCCTTCTTGGCTCTGGAGTGTGCAGATTTGTCGTGGTTTACCCCCAGCCAGCAACTAAGCACCATGCAGCCGCTCTCTCACTCCCCCCTATCCAGTGGGATGGGGGAGAAAATCAGGAAAAGAAGTAAAACTCGTGGGTTGAGGTAAGAATGGTTTAATAGAACAGAAAAGAAGACACTAATAATGATAATGATAACACTAATAAAATGACAACAGTAGTAATAAAAGGATTGGAATGTACAAATGATGCGCAGGGCAATTGCTCACCAACCGCCACCCAACACCCAGCTAGTCCCCCAGCAGCAATTCCCTGCCCCCACTTCCCAGTTCCTATACTAGATGGGACGTCCCATGGTATGGAATACACCGTTGGCCAGTTTGGGTCAGCTGCCCTGGCTCTGTCCTGTGCCAACTTCTTGTACCCCTCCAGCTTTCTTGCTGGCTGGGGATGAGAAGCTGAAAAATCCCTGACTTGAGACTAAACACTACTTAGCAACAACTGAAAACATCAGTGTTATCAACATTCTTCTCATACTGAACTCAAAACATAGCACTGTACCAGCTACTAGGAAGACAATTAACTCTATCCCAGCTGAAACCAGGACAGTATCCACCCCTTATTCTATACCATTGACGTCATGCTCAGTTCCCATACCTTTAGTTACATTAGTTACATCCTGAGCAATCATCTCATCACCTTTCCATCCCTTTGAGACATATGAACAATGTTTTCTATATATATGTATATGTATACACACACAGAGATATCATTCCTTTAGTTTATGGGTTATGTTCCTAAAATGTTCCTTGAGTTCATTTAGTTTCCAACTCTGGGCTTCATCTGTCATACCAGTCTTTCTGGGCAGGAGGGACAGTGCAACGTCCTCTCAGCCAGTAGAGCAGAATTGGGCTTCAGTGCGGTGTGACGAGCAGGTGACATTGGACGCAGCAGGAGGATGGTGTGCGCCGTTGGATTGTTGCATGCTGGAGTCAGTTCTGGTTCCATCACTACTGCGCTTTGCTCAGTTTTGTCACAGTCCTTTCTTGCTTGATCTAAGCGATTCTTACTATAGTAGTATGGATATAGCATATAACAATTATAGTAATGATAACATACAGTAGCAGGGTTATGTCCAGGGAAACCAGGACAAGATTGAAGCATCTCTGCTCTCCATTCTACTTCAAACTTCCGAAATGCTGTTACCACATCTGGTGTGGAACTTGGCCACCGCAGCCACCTTCCTTATAGGCAACGTCAGGCCATCTGTTTTTCCCTTTCGGTGTCTGTGATTGATTCTGGCCAGAGCTGACAGTACCATTACCTCCCCGAGTTCACCTCTGTTGGTATGCTGCTGTAGTGGTTTAGACTCTGTTGAGAAAGGGTTTAGCCACCACGTGGAAGCAAGGCCAAGGTCCCTATGACTGTCCTCTGTCAATGCTTAGAAGCAGCATATTTCCAAAGCTGTTGGATGTTCTCCTTTTTTCACACAGCAGCAATGTTGCATGCCTATCATATCTACCCACCACAGTGTTCTTCATGCAGCCGTGCCAGGGATGTTTGCACTTCTGGTCTTACTCTGATCTGAGATTTCTTGTAGCCTGAAGCTTGGAAGTAGGGGAATTCCTGCCTGTACCATCAAGAGCTGTTCCTCAGGTTTGCGATAGAACCAAGTTCCTCTCCTGCAGCGTGATGAGTGCAGCTCCTGAGAGGACTTCGGAAAGAATATTATATTCCTTGCATAGCCCTCTGGGAGAGGAGATGATGCTGCCTAATGCTGCAGTGTGTTCTACATTCTGCTGCTGCCTAGCAGTTAGGCAGTTACAGGCTTAGCTATGTCCTTTATCAGTTTCCAGCCTCTTGTCATCTCCTTTCCCCTATTGCTTCTGGCATGACTGTGATGTTCTGTCAAATTTTCTGCTTCAGAGTTTGGTGAATCTTTAATGGGTACGTTACTGGCTTTGTGGTCAAATGGCCTGATCCAGAATTGTTGAATGGAATAGTAGTTACTGTCAGGATCAGGTAGAGAAAAGCATTCATCCTTATTCTTCATAAGCGCTGTCCTTAACTGAAGTAAGACTTTGATGTTGGAATCGTCTTTGTTTGTCACTAGGTTCCTTTCCTTTCTCCCTGAAGTGGTAGCACCAAATCCTGGACTCTGCCACTCCAGTCTTGCTGTGTTTTGTTTTGCAGCAGCAAAGTTAGA